GGCGGCGGGAAGCCGCGGCCAGCACATCGCTCGCCCACGCCACTTCTCGCCACCCCCATTAGCCTGGGACAGCGAACCGCGGCCAGTGGGGGCCGCGATCGGCCGAACCTGCCGCGTCAGCAGGTAAATAAAACTGGCCCGGCCCGCCAGGGTGCTTACCCTGACGAGCCGCGTGCCAAACGTTGCCAACCCCTGACTTAGACTAATGCTAGGGCTGAGCCTCGAAGTTTGGAGCAGAACCCACACACGAATGACTCCAAAGGTCAAGAGTGCCCGTGTCTTAAGGTTTTGGTTTTTGTCCATTTCTGAATTGAACCATAACATTTTTGAGGGGGTTTTAAAAGCAATAAATAAACCACATGTAACTTACAAGTATCATTTGAAGGAGATCAGTCCTACATATTTATGTTTTTTTAACTATCCTGTAGAATTAAATCCTGGTTGTAGAATTCTGCAGCTTGGTTTAAAAGTTCTAAAGGAAGGAGATGGTAGTCTATTAAATTATATAGGACTGTTTCATAGGGACTGACATGCCAGTGAAAGCAAACAGATTTATACCAGTTTTCATCATTGACTCCTGCAATGTTTTAGTTTTAGCAGTCTCCCAAATAGCTCATTCTTTTCCTTAAAAATATGAATGATAATGCAGGTTATATCCCAAAGAAAGCGTTTTCATAACAGCTAACACAAATGTGTTCATTTCGAAGCACTGACACTTCTGTTCCTATGATGTGCATTGTAACTACTGGCAAGCACACCCTTGCTTCAGCTTCCAGTAGGATCCTAACGTATTCCGGTAGATGCCACACATGAACAAAAATGATGCACGGGAACAGATTTAATAGAACCAACCACAAGCCAGAAGAGTTGCAATTAAGGATGTGTACACACATTTCCCCCTCTCCTCAAGCTGTAATGATTCGCCCTTGCTACGCAAGTCACCGCATTGAAACCTGGCTGCCAAAACAGCTACTACCTTTCAAGTGTTTCCCACCATTACAAAAGCTGGAGCGGAGTTGATTTTTTGGGGGATGATACTAAATTACAGAATGCCTCTGGCTGGTCGTGGGAGACTCTCATCCATGTGACTTTTTGTTGCCCTAGGTTATATTGAAGCAGCTGTGATCCCTGCGGGTGCTCGACGGATCCGAGTGGTGGAGGATAAACCTGCCCACAGTTTTCTGGGTAAAAAAGAAAAATGCTTTGATTCTAAACTCAGTGTATGCTTTTGTCTAAATGATAAATAGGAGTAGTTAGGCCACAGGTTCATCGTTTGCAGGAATTGGCTGCTAACGTTTCTTTCTTATTGCGATGTCTCACCATTTCTGTGGCGGTTTGCTCAGCGTGTTAATATCGGACAGCAGTAGGGTGCTGTTCACTCCCGAAGGAATCCCAGAGCATTTTTACATGCGTAAACGAGTCCCTGACATGCACTTTGCTCTGGGGTGGAACAGAGGAGCTGTCTAATAGCACACAACAACACTGTGCAACAGTTTAGGGGGAGGAGTAAGGAAGAATGTGGTGTTCAGATGAAACAGCCGCCATTTGGGTAGGAAGAGCATAGCACCCAGTTCAAACTAGGAGTGAGGCAGGACAATGCAGCTGACTTCCCCCAAAACACTTACCATGCTGCCCGGGCCACTTCCTGCAGTACTAGGTTGTCATTTTGCTTTACATCCAAGACCCAGCCCTGCTTAGCCTGTAATGAGCTCACAGCCTGAGGTGGGCTGGCTGCAGCCATCGATCCAGTGCTTATGTTATTTACTCTGAATTTCTGTGAGGCAGCCAACTGAAATACTGGGCTTAGTCCTCCCCTCGTTTAAACCCCTGCCGTCCCGCTGAAGTCAGTGGCATTGCACCTGTGGAAGGGAAAGGAGGATGTGGCCCTGGGGGAGCCCCAGATATTGTAGTTTGGTCTATTACAGGGTCAGCAAATTTATTATAAAATGATTAACCCCTACAGTTATGGCTGTGTAGCGTCCTTGTAAATTATAGCTAGCTATAGGTAGGTACACTATCGTTACATCTACAATGGTACATGTATGGCCCCATCCTCATAGTATCATCCTTGTATCACCAACTTTAATGAATTTATCCTCAGAACATCCCTGTGAGGTAAGGAAGTGTTGCAATCCCCATTGCACAGACGGAGAACTGAGGAACAGAAAGACGAAGTGGCAGAGTAGGGAATTTAATCCAAATTCCCTGGCTAGCACCCTAATCACCGGCCCATCCTTCCTCTCATCCAAACATGTAGATAGATGCATAGCCACATAGAAACACTGTTGCAAGCCAGGTAACAAGCTGAGCTAAGCTTTTAACTGTTCTATACTGTGCCACAATTCCATGTCCCGTTAAGGCAGGAGAAGAGAACAATCGAAGCCGTCCCTGATGTTTGTTTGAACCTTTGTGGTTTAAAATTCCGAGCAGGTTTGCCTCCAGATTTTTGTTGCTATCGATAAGCATTTACGCCCCCTGAATCCTTTATTTTCTGTCTGTTTGCCCATCAGTTTATCTGGCACCCCTCGGCACAAAAACGGAGTGCTTCTATTAGGGCCATGTCCTGCAGTCTTTCCTCACCAGAGTATTCCCATTTGGGGCAAACTGGGATTAATGGTTATGTGGTTCTCACTCCGACCGCTCAGTGTGTTACCACCTTACTTAGATGTTGTCCCATCCGCCTGTTCCGTCTCTTCCAATCTTCTTCGGCGCAGGAACTGTGCCCTCTCCGGTGGTGGGTGCTACCAGAACAAATAATAGAGAATGGCAGTAAACTCCACATAGGAGAAGGAGCATTTGACCCCCTCTTTTTTACAGATGGTGGAACTGAGGCACACAGAGGTGATGTGACTCTTGCCGCGGCCAAAAAGTGAGTCCGTGTCAGAGCTGCAAATAGAACCCAGGTCTCCTGACTCCCGTGTGCTCCTGCATCATAACTCTTTTTCTTAGATTCCAATTAGTTGCAAATCTCAGGATACAGGATGCTGCAGAAAGCTTTCGCAGGCTGATTGTGTCTTAGGAGTTTTGCACTAGTTCTGCTATTTTCCTGTGTTTTGGGATGACACCAGAATTGGCAAGGAACATTCAGCAAGCGTGCTTCTCCCTGGCTGTCATCCCATCTGCCCTGTCTGTCTTCTTGAGTACATACCACGTGATGAATAAAGCTAAAATGCAATTAAGAAAAAAACAGCCCCTGCCATTCAACTCTGAGGTGTGCTGCGCCTTGTATGATAAAACCGCATTTGTGGCACCAGTCCTTTGTAGGAAGCATGTGTCACTGTTGCTGTTATTTCTGCTAATGCGGCAGCCAGTTTTCTGGAAGAAGATTACGCCTACACATAAGATGTTTGACATATCAAGCCACTGGTGGAACAATAAGAGCCAGTGTTTCCTCGAGCTTTGCAAATATTCTGCTTTTGGAAGCCCGTCTTGTTTGTTTGTTTCCATGGGATTCATATAGAGTGTTTATCAGGGGGTTTTAGTTTTATCAGCTGGAGTTCTAGATCTGAGAAGCTTGCACTGAATATTTAGGGCTAAAGTCGGTCCTCAGTTACAATGCGGTAACCCTGCTCACTTGCACAGATGTAACCTCAACAAGTGCTACACCAACAGGTTTGGCTATGACTGAGAGCACACTTTGCCCCTGCATGCATCTACCTTATCTGAAGGTCAGAAATACAGTTCAGATAAAATGAGACTGGTTCCTTCCCAGACATCTTCCTCCAAAACTTGACCCAATCCAGTTTTGAGATTCATAAAGGTCCAAGCAGCTCTGCCCTATATATTTTCTATTTTTGCACATCTCTGGCTTACCGCACTTGGAGCAGGAGTGCTGAGACACCTTGAGACCGGGATCTTCCCACAATACTTGCAGTCCAGTTTTGCAGAATGGTTAAAATGTCTGTGCCTTTAAATAAAGGGCCAAGAGAGTTTTTTCCCAGCTGCAGTGCATAATGATGCTCTTGCTACACTGAAGTTTCCCAATATTTTTTCAGCTCTGTAGCTCATGTTCAGTAGCCAGGAGGATCTTATTGTGTCTTCCAAAGCTGTCTGTTTCCAATGTCAGTGATCAGAGAGGAAGAAATATGCAGTGCCTTGTTAATCTAAGCCCAAGGATAGCAACAGCGAGTCTCCAACAAGATATACAAGACAATAATTGGGAAATCAAATTCCAGGCACTGTAGCTTTAATAAGGCACAAGGACTCTGCAGTCATTATAACAAAGGGTCTAACTTTGGAAAGATTCCCTGTGTTAGTTTCACTCATAAAGTTTAGTCCAATCAGCCTTGTTTCCACTCAGGGCTGGGTGCAGCACTTTGGAACCCTGCTTAATTTGGAATCATTATTCCATTTGCTGGGAGCAGTTCCGGAATCATTTCCCTCCACCTACGTTCAGCCCACGCTGGCTGGCTGGCTCGCTCGGTTGGCTTTCATGCTAAAGAACCACCTTGAACAGGAAACGCCTCGGCAGCTTGCGTCCATGAGCTCGGAAGTGAGTTGGAGGAACTGCAAGTGGAAATAAAGATCTGACTGGATGCCAGGTTTAGGATTAGGTTGATTAGTCAGTTCCTGTCTTCCAGCCTGAAAGGAAAAGAGACGTTAAGGGCTTTTTGGTTTTGTTTTAATCCTCTACTGTACGATGTTGAGCCACAAAGCTAAGCATGAGACAAGGCAAATGCCTGCTACCTCCTGAGTGAAACCACATCCCAGTGGTAGTCTGACCTATCTACTTACAGTTAACCATTCCTGTAGACACCTTCCCTCTCCCCCAGCGATCACAATCTTATACAGACAAGAGTTGGGATTCAGGTCAGGTGAAGAGACTTGGTTTGGTGATTGGTGAGACATTTCTGGTGCAATGGGAAGATGCTGGAGGATCTTGTGAATAATTGACTTGATACTTAGAGGCAGCGTGATTCCATGGATAGTGCACTGAACTGGGAGTCAGGAGACAATGGGTTAGATTCACTGCCCTTTTTCTGGACCCTTTGAGCTGCAATCTGGCCATAACTGCAAGTTGAGAATTCCCCTAAACGCAGGAAATTGTAAGACGCTGCTGGACTGGAACCTGGGAGTTCTGAGCCACCGACTCATCCGCATCGCCACTGGTTGCTTAGGTTGGGTTTCCCCTTGAGGACCCCATGAAACTGGGTTCTGCAGGAAGTCCTGCCCAGCAGGATCTGAATGGTGGCCCCTCCCAGCTCACTGGTTGGCTGTTGCTAGTTTTTAAACTAGGAAGCTGGGGAACCAGGAAATGGGGAGCTGTCTGAGCAACCAAGCAGACTGCCTGCCTGCTTCCACTCCAGACCCTGCTTGCTGTAGACCCTAAACTCCAGCGTCCGAGCCTGGGTTGTTCTCAACTTTGCTATTTGCTTGCTGTCTGTAACCTGGCACCTGACCCGACTTCCTGATATCCTGACTCACCTGCCACCTTCAACTTGGTGCCTGACCCCCAACTTCCTGATACCCTGACCTACCTCGACGCTGACCCCACTACTCATTTCCTGACCACAACTTAGCAACTGACCAGTGCCCCCGGCCTGGCCCTGACAGGAATTCACATTTGGTGTAAAGCCGACAGAGCTGGCTCCATAAACCATCTACCACCCCCACCTCGGTGAAGGGGCAGGGGCAAGGGTGGAGTTATGTTACTGTTATCCACAGCAGGCATATCATCCTGGGAGTACCACAGCCAACTGTCGTAAATTAGAGCAACCTTTAGGCTGCTCTAATTTACACTGAGGACAGGGCTGGCTGAGGCTCAGGAAGCCATAATCTGTTTCCTGATTGAGCTCGCCTGCCCACACTGTCAAGCAGGTCTTGGTAGAGAAGAGAATCTACCCCCTCGGTTCTGTTCACAGCTCTGAGCCGCTGGGTGATCCTGTACACACCCCTTCACCTCTCTGTGACTCAGTGTTCCTGTCTGCAAAATGGAAATAAGGATACTTCCCCTCCTTTGCAAAATGTTTTGAGATCCCTGCTTGCAAAATACTCCATGCGGTAAGAGCTAAATGTTGTTGCTGTTCCTTAGTGCTCATTCTGCTTGGATGCTGAGGAAGCGGGGGTCAAAGCTTGCCAACCCTAAGACTCCCTCAAGTAAGACATGACCATTTCCCAGATGGAAGACCCCAGAGATTAAACATGGAGTGCTGGTGTTCAGCAAGGGGCGATCTTCCCTCTGAATC